TTTGAGTAAGAATCTTAGTTACGCTAGGAAATTTTAATGTTTTCAGATCATCTTTCCCAGATATAGATAATATGTCTGTTGATTGTGTGGGAAAATCTTGTTTGCTACCCATGATTGGAAAAGATAGCAAATTCTTTATAATAATGTCAGGTAATCTTTCAAAATTAGAAGACATATATTTTGTGGCTGTGTTTTCATTATTAGATACATTTGAATTAGACAATTCAACTTTATTATCACTATTTTTTGTTGAGAAATTACATGTTGTATTAGTAAACTCAAGTTCTGTTTCTTTAGCAACTTGACTAGATTCAGAATGTAAAAGTCTTTCTGTAGTTTGGTCAATTGAGTTATTAATTTCCATCTCGCTAACTTTTTTTACAGAACTCTGATCTTTATCATTTAATTGCTCCTTTCGTGATTGTGTAGTGGAAGTAATCTTCTTGAATTTATTGCGAGTATTTTCCATAACCCAAAACAATTCTGTATCAGTCATGTTTAATTTTTCACAAGGTATCTTTCCTTTCTTTTCTAATTTTAGTCTTTTCTTCTTCTGGGTTTTTGTTTCAGCTAATGAACCGAATAGCGACTTATATTCTTTCATCAATCTTTCAATTTTATTAATCTTCGAGAAATGCCTTTTAATAACCGGTTGGCACATATTTTGTATATTAGAAGATATGTGTAAAACATATTGGGAAGTAACCAACATAATTGTAGGAATTGTTTTGTAGAATAAAATATATAGCTATGTACTTTCTTATTTTACACATAAAACTTCTCAGTAGCTCTGTTAATAAAAAATTAAACATACACACACACTATAAGTAATCAATAACATTCTGCTTTTCTTTAAAATACGGTTATATCTAATATTTCTCTTTAAAATATTAGAACATCATGTCTAATAAATAAGTAAAATTATGTACACATTATATATAATATTAAATTTCGCATAAAGATATTAATGTAAAAAAAGTTAAATTTTTTATCAAAATATTTTACATAAACATACAGTTATATGTCTCAATTATAATCAAATATAAAAAATGTTTTAAACAAAACTTACCGGAAAAACAGCCTTTTATTCTTAGCTGATTGTGTACTTCATGAAACGCGCGATTTATTTATAAAAAAACTTAAATAATTATAAAAATAAAAGACGATATGTCTTAGATTACAATATTATTAGAAAACCGACAGAATTAATTTTTACTTGACTGTTTAATTATATAAAATAGGTGGTGTACTTTATAATTGTTCAAAATAGTTGAAGAGGTTATGTATACATGATAAACTCAATTTAATTAAAAGCATTTTACCGCCATCTACAAATAAATTGTGTACAACCTTTCTATAGCATTTCGTTATCAACATTTGGTATAAATTCAAACTGAATAATGATATCTGTCGAGTAATTAGTCGTATAATTATATATAATTATAAGAAATTTTTGTTATTTTATAAAATTTTTTAAAGTTTTTCATTATAAAGAATACTACAGAATATTTTAGATACTAATAATGTAAATAATAATAATTTTATCTTTGTATAATATCATATTAAATAATAAATTAGATATTTTATTTATAATTGTGGATAAATTAATTAATTATTTTAAAAATAATACATTTAATATACAATTACAAATTTTTTGGATATTTTATTGGTGTTTTGTTCGATAATATTATATATTATCTAATTTTTTAATACATAACAAAATATTTTATTATTTTAATTATTATAATATTATTATAATTATAAAAATTTGTTTAATAACTAATAATGAATTTAATTATAATATTAATTTAGTAATAATTAAATGTAATTAATTACAGTATAATTTTCCTATAATATATAATTTTAGAATTAGTAATTATAATTATTAATGCGCTGCAATCCAAAATGTATATAACGCATGTAAACATATATTTGCAATGTGTATATGCGTTGCAAATATATGTTATTGATAAATACCACAGAATATTGCGTCAGTATTACGCTATTATTAGTTTATGAGCAAATCACTCGATTAATTTTGCTAAATGAAAAATTCCGTACTTTGTAATATCTGATCATTGAGGCTGTTTTTATGTCCAACAATTAAATAATTTTACACTACTTCATTGCGGGTAGTAATAAGATGCATTGATATATTATCAGCCATCGCATCGCCGACATGTTTTCGCATTATCGGTGTTTGTACGATCAGAATTACGAGCGCATTTCGCAATAAGAATCCGCAAAGTTGAATCTGAAACAGCCGTTTAATCGTACGTTTTATTTTATTGCCTCGAGTCGTGTATTTTTAAAAGAAGTTTTTTATGCTGTTCTTTATTGATATCCGGTTCTGACGTTCGTACTCTCTAAAGAAAAATTGTTGTATATCCTTTTCATGCAATTCGTAATATACGCAATTTTCAAGAAATCATTTAAAAAATTCTATGAATCAATCAAAATTTATAGATAAAAAAAGGATACAAGCATTTCGCATTTTTATAGAAAATAAAATTTTTTTTTTTTTTATTCACACGTCATTATATAAGAAAAGTATCCATAATTTTTATAGTAAAAATATTCTCTTTATTACGTAGCATTTAAAAATTCTTATTGATACTGGTTTTAAGAAATACATTTATAGAATACAATGTTTTGTTATTTAAATGACGAAATTAATTCCTTTGGAAAAATTTATTTTAGAAAATTTGAAAAAATAGTTAAAATTTACTGTAGAGAAAACCTAAGAAATAAAGATAAATTTGAATTTAAATGCCGATCGGCATTTAGACTGCGCGCGGATTAGTGAAGTAAGAGGCAAGGACAAAGCTGAAAATCAGCCGAAATATGCAACTAAATCCCAGCACTGCTTTAAAGTAACTTTAAAACTTACTTAAAAAAAATAACTGAAAGAATTAAACTAACGCGCTGTGCCGATTATATTAAAGTTCATCCTTGAAGAACTTGAAAAACTATAGGTTATTTTGGCTTAACCTTTCACACACTTTAAATTACCTCAAAATTTTTTTAACTCTTAATTTACTTTTAAAAATTTTAACTTCGTTAAAAGTTAATTTTCCCGAGGGTTAGTCAGACACTGCAAGTCTAGAAACATATCACCTAAAAAAATAGGGGATAGTACAGTGAAAACAAAGAAATATAATGCTTACATCCGATATCATGTATGTACAAGTCCGATCGGCGGCTGCTGCAGCGATTTCTTGCCTGGCCTGCACTGGTCAGGTGGAGTACGCCAGTGCAACCCCCTGCCCCTCATATTGTGCTTGGCTTATGCAACAATTGTTCGCGGGCGACCTTTGATGCGATAAAACTTTCTCTCTTCCCCCCGCAGAAAATTAACGATATGACGTGCTTTATTGTTTGACGTGCTCTGATACCGCTGAGCCTATCGTTGCACTGACATAAAACCGGACTCGTGGCCCTTTCGAAGGCTCGAGGGTGTACCTCCTGCCCTCTTTCCCATGATTAACGAGGATTTTTCTGCTAATTTAATAACGGCCTGCTGTCGAATCGAGTTCATGGCAGACCATTTGTAAAACGGCGATTATCCCGAGTGGCGTCGAAGTAACAGGAAGATAACGCTTGCAGCGGACAGTGATATATGGCGCCGTTTATTTAACAATTAATCCCTTTTTCACCATTTAGTTGCAAAAAGGAATTTTTGTCGCACTTATATTTTAAATTATACCGTGAATTAGAAAATTCAAACAAATATATATTAAAATATATATTATTTATATTATTTTTATCGACAAATATTTTTTCAGAATTCCGAAAAAACAAGGTCGACTCTAAACTATGTTAAATTTCTTTATTTATTTACTTCTTCTCATCTGTCCTCTTTCTCTTTTTACTATTTCGTCAATCACGAGACATATGATAGGTTGCTACAGAAAGGGACTGCAGCAAGAGATAAACTGGACGGAAAAAATGTTTTTACGTAATGCTGCAACCGAAAACCGTCGTCGCAGAGCCGAGTGACAGTGAAAGTTTCGTCATATATGAAATTTGAGATGTGCAGAAAAAGCACGCTGTATCATATCAATGAATCCAAATTAATACTAATGGGCCGTATATTGTTACATATATTTAAACGGTTAAAGCCAGAAAATTATATTTACGTATATAATACATTATATACGCCAAAAGCGTATAGTTATATCAGCGATATATGTCATGCGATATCTTTCACATTCATGGGGATTAATTGTATCGGAGTTTGGCTTAAGTTCAAGTTAACTAATTCTAGGTTGAGTAAAACCTATTATCCTTTCGAATTATAATCCTATCCATAATGTAGATGAAATAACAGGATTTTACCAGATAAAGTATCTTGGTTTTACCTTCAAATTGAAATAATCACTTTGAAAGAGAGAGTTCACGGATTTACGAGATTTCAATTTAAAAAATGACAAGATTACATGTGTCTTTAATGTGATAAAAAATTGTTGCGCGCGCGAAAGTTCCTATTTTGTTTTGCTGAAAGAATCCAATTCTACAAATTAAAAGAAAATAGAAGTAACCTATCAATAATTAAATCTTCCTATCGATTTGATCTTATTTGTAATTCTCAACCCTTCTAATTTCATCCAACGAAAGAAGTTCTACAAGAAATCTGATAATTCCACATTGTTCTTATGCGTTAATCCAAACGTTTCATCGAGAATAACGGTGTCTCCTGCGGGGGATTGATAGATCGATTTTTAATTCCCACCAACGCAAGTTGATCGCACAGTCTAACAAAGAATTTTCGTGACGAGTTCGCTAGAAAAATCATTTTAGAAAGGCGTATTAGCTACGCGTACCTCTACCTTCTTGCCAGAGGTACTATTGCATTGCTATAACTGCTCCTACATCTCTATTTACGTGCGTATGTGTGTGAGTGAGCGAGGTATCGCGTATAGACGTGCGATACACGTGTAATTCGTCTCGGCGAGATGCAATGCTGTGAGAAAAGACTCCACCGGTATAAAAGGGGGTGTGTCTCGTAAGGTCCGCATCAGTTTCAGTAGTGATCTCTGCATCGCCACACCATTACCGCCACCATGAACGCTATAGTGAGTTCTAGTTCTAATTCTACTTCTCCGAGTAACTGGAATCGTCACGATACTGCATTCGAGGGAGATCTCGTGATTTACCAATTTTTGCGGAAAAATAATTTACCCCAAGGAGAACAGGAAAGTCAAAATAATATCAATTTGACGTTATTGACCGATTATTGACTTGAATTTTTATCATTTCTTTTTTGTCATGATTCAATCAATATGATATTATTTTGACTTTCTCGATTTCCTTAATTGAAATGAGTTTACGCACCCCGTAAATAGAATTCATTACAAGATATTTCTGATACGGTTTTTTGATTATTTCACGATATGTGATACTAGTATTATTTTTGTTCATTATAGATATTCTAGAATGATTTTTATTTTTTTATTTATATGCACATGTCTCACGTATTTTCTGTATTTTTGTGAAATATGGTGTTCGTTGTTCGAGATATTTTAAAAAATGTTTTTCTTTGTACGTCCATATTATAAAGGATTTTAGATTTGTTTTGTTTTTTTGTGTTGTACTAGATGCGCAACACAAGAATTATTTTCTTTCTCGCTTCGTGTAAATATCAAACATGGGTATATATTCGTTTGTGCTTTAAACAGAAAAAATTAAATTAGTTTAGGTATAAAAAAAAGCGGATTTACTGTCAACCGTTTCATAAGAAAATAAACTGATATAAAACATAATATCTATTTAACACTCTTTCACAATTTTTAAATAATATACTTTATCTATATAATATTTAGTTGAATAAATTCCTTGCAGCTTGTATTAGCCATTCTCAGCCTGGCAATGCCTATTTATGGCGAAGAAACACAAGTAGAAAAAAAACAGGAGAAGAGGGGTATCTTAGGGTTGGGTTACGGAGGATATGGAGGATATGGAGGATACGGAGGATACGGAGGATACGGTGGATTAGGAAATTCTCTGATTGCGGGATCAGGTTACGGAGGTAATTTCCGGTTAAAAGTTCTTAACGCCCGACGATTTGCGCGGGTACCTAATTTTATCTCGATTGTGAAGGTCACGCCCTTTCGGTTTCAGGTCACGGACAAAGTGGTTATCTCGGTGTTGCCCCAGCAATTGCCTCCTCAGGTCACGGCATTTTCGCACCCGCCTACGGCTACAGCAACGTGCCCATAGCGTCTCATGGATACAGTGCTCCTCTGGCTTATCGTATTGGTTATTCTGGTGGTCCAGGATACGGTGGGGCGAATCTAGGAGGACTCGGACACGGTGCCGCAGGAGCCGCAGGAGTCGCAGGAGCTGCAGGAGCTGCATATAGCACCGGATTGGGATACGGCGCGAGGGGTGGTCTTGGACACGGTGCGGGACTCGGATACGGTGCTGGACTCGGATACGGCGCGGGATTGGGACATGGTCTCGGTGCTGGTCTCGGTCGTACTGGTCTAGGTGCCGGTTACGGTGCCGGTTACGGTGCCGGTTATGGTGCCGGTTACGGCCACGGATGGTGAAGACGCGGCGACTGATCAATTATCTGACACACGCGGTGTCGCGAAACGTCCATGATCCTTCAATTTCTCTTGTCAACTTTGTCCTGATTGGCCTTACCACTCTCAAGTTTTATATCGTGCGACTTCCAAATAAATTTTATATTTTTTAGTAATCCGCAGTACCTTTCTTATGTCTCCATTCTTACAGCGAGGGTGAATTATAATCAGTGATCTCTTGGAAATTAAATTGATCAATCTGTAAAATAAAAAACAGAAGAAATTAATGAAATTAATAAATTAATCACTAATATTAAAATTAAGAAATTTATAAAAAAATGGAATTGATCAATTTTGATTTCTCGGAGACTCTATTATGTGACTATCATGTTAGATGTGTTCGTCATGAACAATTAACATTTTTGTATCAATAAATACAATATAATATTTTTTTTTATTTTCACTTTTTTTTCTTTTTTTAGATTGTTTCTATATTTGTGAAATATTGTTTATAAAATATTAATACCATTTTAATACTATTATTTAATACTATTAATATGTGTTTCAACTATTTTCTTAAGATGTGCATTTTTTAAAGAACCATCTAACGTGCACATTACACATGTGACATCTTTGTATCTGAACATGTAATATCAAAAATAAATAGACAAAATATATTTTTATAAAATAATAAAATAGAATTAAATATAAAAACAAGAAATATGAATAATAAAATTATATAACAAGTAGATTAGTTTTTCGGAAGTCGATAAATAAAATTTCTACTTTATGTACGCTAGTTGCCATCTCGTCCCTAGGTGGCGTTAATGAACAATCATATGTTCAAAATAGGTTAAACAACATTCGGTGAGGTTAAGTTACTCTAGGAAAAGTCTATTAATTACGTTAGCCATGAATTTCCTGACCAAAAGTGTAATGAATATAGCGAGAACTTGCATAGCAAATACCATCCAAAGTACGATCATTGCGTGATACGATATAATTAATTTTTTTAGTTATCTAACCTCTAATTTAATTTCTGAATAAAGAGTGATTACTGTCCTAATAAATTCTTTTCTAAAGTTTTTATTTTATTTATATATAATCAGATTATTTTAGTTTTGACAATATAATCTGATTATTTTATTTATTTCAGGTAGCAACCTAACTACGAAATTTTGTAGGGACAGCTATAGCCAAGGTAATATTCCATAATGTCAATTTATTTAACAATGAACTGAAATCTTGTACTTGCTATTAGCAGGAAACATACTGAATGCTACAAGGATATGTGTGAGCACAGCATTACAAGGTAATAAAATTTTTTAATCTCCATGCAAGTCATAATCATAATCTGTTTCCAGCAAGTGACAGTGTTATGGTTGTTTTACAATATGCTCTTTGTTTCCTGTTTCTTGCTTTTTATCGACAATTATATTTCTTGATATGTGTTTTCTGTTTCTTCTGAAGTTCGTTAACTTTATCTCGAGCAATAGAAAATGAAAAACGAGATAAGAAGCAAAAAGGCAAGATACAAAAAATAGCAAAAAGCAAGAACAGGAAACAAAAAGCACATTGTAGAATAGGCCTAACACAGTAATCATATCACTTTTGTTTAACATTAGAAAACAACAAGAATGTAATGATTCACTCTGTCATTTGTGTAACGTGAACCCCCTGTTTTATATATCGGAATTCAACTCTCATTCAAAGCAGAAAGTAATTTTAACGTAATTAAATGTTCATACTTTTATTATAACAATTGATTTATTGTCACTTGAACTTACTGCTGAAAATTCAAGCTAATATTGACAGAAATAAGAGCCTTTATTTTAAGATTGAATGATTGAAAGAAAAATCAAGGAAAACTCGTTCTCAATTTTAAATGACTTGTTATGGACGTTATTTCTGAACAGATCGTTATTTTAGATATTGTTTTTAAGTAATATTTTGTGATATTTTTTTTTTTTTGAAATACAAAATTCAATTTTATTTCCGTTTACTATTCTTAATTATTAAAAATTAGTGTAATCATTACAAGATATCAATTTGTTTAAATTTTTTTTAATTGTATATATATAATTATTAATTGTTAATAATATAAATATTTAACATGATATATATATGTACTTAATTTCGTAATTAAACGCACTCGAATTTCTTTCGTGAAGGACGTGTGAGGAATGTTTGAAAATAGAAAAATCAAGATAAATGTATATTAATAGTTTGATGACTTATTTACGTGAAATTGTGTGAAACGTTCGAGGTATCGCATTTCTTTTAAGCGTGACTAGATTGGTCCTCTCCGAACCATCTATAATCGCCTATAGATACATATCTTCGCGATTTTCTGCTTGGATCCGGATTCTGCCAAAGAAGTGGTCGAATCTCATAGGAAGTCGGCTAGATTCCCATCGCGGCCGGAATTCTTCTGCCGCAAAAATACGTGCAGCCCTCACCTCTTTGATCCCCATGGACAGAGATCTCCAAATACCAAAGGGATCTATTCGTCCACTTCGCAAGAAAGGGCTCGCGCTGCGTAAAGACGGAGCCCTTGTGACCACTAGCGAAAATCGCTGAGAATTGAGGGGTGTGACGTGTCCATTTGCGGTTGACCAGTTGTTGCTATGGGATCAGGCACTATCCGCGTGTTTCCCTCTTTCCGCTTTTCTCGCAACCCTACAAAGGGCGGGTCTGTGATCCATTCATGACAGCATTCGTGAGAGTGTTCGCAAACGATGCCTTATCAGAATTAGAGATCTTTCGTTTCGTTAATTTGATGGTCCTAGGCAGAAATTTTTTGTTTACACTTAGTTTCTGTATTATAAATGTGTATTACATATTTTTCTAATATTTTCATCTTCCGTTTTGATTTCTTATCCAAGCTGTTGAATTTTTCGTATAATATATTCGATAAAAAAGAATGCTCGTTGTGGAGCATCCTTATGTCAGTTTTCGAGAATGAAAGCTGTCGGAAATGACATTGACAATTTTAGAATTGCCTGTCAGAGCCGTAATATTTTACGATCATGCTAAATTTTATGCCATATACTTTCGCAAAAAAATTGTAAATGGATAAACAAAAAATATTTTTTACAAACTAAAATAGAACGAATTAATTTTTGATGAAGAATCCAATCATATTTATTTCGACTTTGTAAATGTTTGTAGATATCTTATGAATGAACGTAACCGCTGCTTTATATATTCACATCTTGGCAATTCAAATTAATTTAATATAATAAATATTAATTTAGCATTAACTTATTGGTCCCAATTATTATGATGTAATTTTTATGACTAAGGATGAGAAGAAGAATTCTGAAATTCGCATTTTTTCAGTTGTAAGATCGCAATCATGACAAAAAAGATTTCTCGAAGAAACGAAGGAACCAGGGAAAGAAAGGAAAAGGATTTGCGACGTTGTAACGATGCAACAAAGCGCAACACCGACGTCGAAAATTTTCGCAATGTAATCTTACGTATTCATCGGTAAGAAAAGGGTTTGCCTTTCGTACATAATAGCTGTCTGGCAGAGTGAGGAGGAGTTAGGACGGATTAGTCACTATGCCGCTGGACATCTGTCGCATTGATGGACGGTGGTCAGCCAACTCTCTCGATATGATCAATGGTACTTTCTTTGGGTAAACCTTGATGACCGTAGAATGTCACAGCTCTGGCAGGCAACTCTAAAATTGTCCGTGTCACCTCCGACAGCTTTCATTCTCGAAAACTGATCACTCCATAACGAGCATCCTTTTTATCGAATATACCGTCATACGATACTCGTTTTAACTAATGTCTCGAAGCAAACGTGAATATTTTGCGACCAAATATTATGACATTCTATTTATAAGACGTTTTATTTTGTTAAGTATACCGATAATATTGCGTTCTAAAAGCAAATGTCAAAATTAATTTATTTATTCATTATATTCTATATAAAGATCAAAATTTTTTAATTTGACATGATGCTTTTTTTTAAATTAAATTTTTTAAATCGTGTGAATTAAATTTGCAAGAGTGATATTAGAAAAATTATGAACCGTGCATAAATTCGTCATTTGACACAACGATGTTTTTGAATGTATAATGCCGTGCATTTTGCGAGAGACACGTGTTAGCTTTATTTTTACTAGCATCTTGCAAATCAACAATCTTGTAAACGTGCGGAAAAAGATATTAAGGATACAAAAGATCAAACATTAAAATTCTGATATAGGTTTTAAAAAAATGCTTTTACTCGGTTGTGTAAGGATTGCTACGTCATTTATCTTACTTTTCCCAGAGGAGATTTTGTTCCTTTCTCATATTGATTGTTGACTTATTTACGAAAGTTTTCGTTCTCAACTTACCATATAGTTCTTCCATTCTTTCGGGATCTCTTTCATCTTTTTCGTGGCTTTGAAAAGAATCTTACATATTTCGCAACATTTCTTTTTCTGTTATGATTACTTATTTTTTTCGTAAATATTGAAAAAGCAAAATATTATGCTTATCTCGAATTCTAGATACATCCTAACAATATATATATTAATATAATTGGCAATATCTTTGAATAATGATTAAAAATTATAAAAATTTATCGAAACGTGCGCGAAGTAATAAATAAATTCCGCCAATTATATTTAAAGATGAAAATGTATAGAAAATTGCTTAGAGATATTTTTCGATTGTCATAATATTAATAAGAACAAAAGACTCTTGATTTCAATAAACAATAAATATAATAAAGGGTATGTAAGAGTCTAAATTATCAATTTTTATGTTGAGAACAATGAAAGAGTATATTACATAACGAATATTATTATAATAATATTTATAATAATATTATTATTATAATATTCATTATGTAATATATTTTTTAAATATATTTGTTGTCATAATGAAATCGATAATTCTATTTTTTTTAATTATTTTCTATCTGATTACGGGAAACGATTGCGTGATTATTTATACCAATCCAGGATTGGAACAGATCAGATTTGGAAGTACTTTATGGCAAATGCATAGAAGAGGCGGACCATACAAAAAGCCCAGAGTTTCGAAGAATCCTTTCGACGGCGCACCATTTATGAAGGGCGTAGTTTTAAAAACTGTTATCAGAAAACCGAAGAAACCTAACTCTGCGAATCGAAAATGCGTCATTGTGAGATTGTCGAACGGCAAAGAAATGACGGCATATGTTCCCGGTAAGATCTCGAAATAATTCTAACTTGCAGCAATACTGCATTCGAGTCATAAACCCGCCAGGAAATTTGAGGCGTCATGTAGTACGCGTTAGAAAATTTAGATGAATTAAATTATTTCAGGAATCGGTCATAATCTGCAGGAACATAATATAGTGCTGTGCAAGAATGGACGACTGCGAGATACACCTGGAGTTAAAATAAAATGCGTGCGTGGAAAGTACGATTTGCCACACGCATCTAAGCGCGATTAATTTATAACTATTAATTGTTATCATACGTATGCCTGACAAAATTAATGTAATTTCTGTAAAAAAAAGGATGTCAACTGTACTATTGTCTATACTTATGTTAATGTACAATTGGTATTGATAAAAAATAATAATTAGTTCCTAAAAACCGTATTTTTAATTTTGAAAATACATCATTGCGAGATTATTGAATAGTACCGAAATGATAGTATGTATTTCTAGTAAGATATAATGTAAAGGTATAGTATTATCTAATTAATCTACTCTTCGGAAATTTTACATTTCTGAATTAAGATTAAGAAAATTTTGCATTTATATAAACAATAAAATTGCGATATTATAGGAATGTTGAGCGTCGATCAAGGAACGTGATATAAGATTCCTGAATCCTAAATACAACTTTTTAATATATGTACGTTAAAGATATTATTGGTGTTGATCAAGACATTTCGATTTCGCACAATCGATCAACATAGCTCACCCTCGTAATCGCGATGGAAAGCAATTTTCGGGACGTCACGGTTTAGAGATTAGCCGTGAAAATTGCGGCCCTTTGACACACTTTTGGCATGCTGAACTCCACCACACATTTACCGTTACCTGGCTCGCGGGTTCGTTATTGTAACGGTGGATGGACAATGGAACTGCTATCGGAGCACAATGAGAAAAGGGTTGTGACACAGCATCCGCTTTTTCGACATTATTACGGAGGGGTTGGTCGTCGCGCATCTGCACAACCTTCATTCGCCCACGCGACCATCGACCAGCGACCAGCGACCATATGACATGCTGACCAATATCCCGATATTTGGAGAAGATCGGCTCTCAACCTGAAATCTTCAGTGAAGCGAAGAAAGATTCTTATATAAATTTCTGAATAAGTATCGTGCACAGAAATTGAATTTGGATCGTTCAAACGAATTTTTGTTCCGTTTAAAGATAAAAGAATTCTTACATTGCAAATGGGGGTTTTTTAATATTAAATATTAAAGTAATTTAAATTAGATGGAAATAAAAAATTCGAACAAAAATTTCTGAAAATGGTTTTTCGTTATTCGTTCTTTTTTTAATTTGAATTATTTTTAATATTATTTATATATATTGTGTGAATGAGAACCTGTTATAAAATAGGCTTATCCCAAGGGCGGTGGCTATCTCAAGGGATAATAGCGCCACGAGGCGTGCGTACGCCAGAATGTTTCATTAAACTTCCGCAATATATTGTCTTTCTTATTTTACGGAAAATATAGCTGACGTCATGGTGTTAATCATGGGTATTTATTCAAGAATTTGTTGAACTACGAGTAGAGTTTTAAAATTGTAGAATCATAAAAATTATTTCTGCAGAAGCTTTTTCTATTTTTATTTTTATTTATATTTATGTTTATATTAAAATGCAATTTTTTTATTTCTGGTTATATCAAGATATTTCAGTTTGTATGATTATTAAAAAATGGTTTTTGACATTAATAACATTTTTTTACTGTCAGAACTATTGGAAATAATTGTTTACATATTTTATAAAATAAATAATTAATAGTTAAATACCCGAAATAAATAAATTAAATAAATAAAAAATAAATCAATAATTATTTTGTAAAATATGTAAAAGATATTTCCAAAAGATAATTAATAGGTTAATATCCAGGTAGCAATTTGTTAAACGTCATTTTGATGTCAAATGGCGATAAATAATCAGTTTATGCTACCGGATAAGTATAAGTTTAAATAGAAAATTCAAAGAAGCTAAAGTTAAACCTTTAAGTACTGAACTCTATCTAACAATTTCTCCCAAGTTCTTCTAACGTCCATCTTTTAAAAATATACATATAATAATAAAAGCTGATATGCCTTTTACGTATGGAATCGATAGGTAGAATTTAGATTCAAAACGAAGTGCAAATGTCCCGACTTAGAATTTAGTGATTACAATATCATAATCAAAATTCTGTACAACTAAATGTATTCTAATAAATACATAAAAGAGTACGTATTTGAGATGAAACTTTACTTAAAACACGAAAACGTTTCAAACAAGGACGTCTACAAAGAATCTCTGAGCAGAATCGCCGTTATGAACTGATTCAACAACGGTAACAAAATTGGAAGAAAGTTTAAAATGCATGTCTTCAAATGACTAATAGTGCTCTGCCAAAAGCTTTTCAAACAAATGGCGAGTAAACATTTCCTGTGCTGTCGCACGATTGTGCCTAACTCTTTGCTGTTCGGCTTAGTAATCGGACACCGGACGATCTTTTCTGAAAATTCTGCAGTTCGACTACTCCTTTCTTTCCATCACAAGCATTTCTTTTTACGTCGCATGTGCTCAGCTGTCCCGTTATTTTATGTACGTATAATTTTTAATAAAATTATTTCATTTATAAAATTATTTCTGTCCATATTGGCGAGTTTAATTTTGCGGGCATGCTTACAAAAATATAATATAACAATAAAGATTATTTATAAAATAAATTATTAATTGTTAAATATTGATTTGCTTTATTCCATAATAATTTTTGTAAAATTCGGGTCAGGTCTCTTAATAAGTATCCGTTTCAATATTTGTTAATATATCTCGAATTACAACTTAATTCAAGTATATCCCTTTTCGAGGTACCTCGAAATATAACCTACCGTTACGCATGCCAAGGTAATCCATCTTCATCGAGTCACAAAGAAAGGATTTTCAGTCAAGAAATAAATTGATCTTTGAAGTGTAAAGGTGTGTCGGAACAAGAAAGCAAACGAGAGTTTTCGCAAAAATTTGACAAATAATTGAGAATAAGCAAATCTTGAATAACTGTTTGTAAGCGTAGGTCAGAATGCTAAATGAAAAATGCAACTGACATTCTTTTCCTATTTTGCAACTCTTTGTAATATTGACAGTTGAAAATCTAACAATGACGTATCCAAGGTTATTAAAGGTTGAAAAGTTAGAAAAAAGAAATTTAAATATAAAAGAAAGAGCACCTAGTCATTAATAAAAAGTAAAGGTACATATATTGTGCGAATAATTTACCTAAGATGTCTTTAATGAAGGTCTTTTTTCAATAATTAATATATTCTTTAATTCCATGCATTACATTATTTACATATTATTTCTGTAAAGTATTGTCATTAATGAAAAATTATTTTGCATTTTTAAATAAAACAATGTAATAAATATTTGACTTATAGGTAATATTGAATAAGGAGTAGTATATAATAAAAATTAAATATTGACGCTTTGTGATCACATTGCTTTATTATTAATGATGATAATTATACATTATTATATGATACAGATAAAAAATATAAGAAAAGAATGTATAAATATAGAATGTAGATAAGTATTCATTTTAAATGTATATCATTTTTAATATGATGTTATACTTGAGATTGATCTCATAAATTGTAGATTTTTTGCATTTTCCTTCAGACATAAACAAATAAAGATCAAAGAGCAAATATGAGAGGCTTCTGTTCACTTCTTACTTTTACGATTGTGATCGGTATTCATAATTGATTCTTATATTTAAGACTTAAGTATAGTCTTAAGACATCAATTAAAGAGCCGCGTTAGCACTTAAAATCACTATTTAAGACATCTTATATATACGGAGAGAATTTTTTCTTAGAGTTTACCCTGAAAATATGATAATCGTGGGACAACATTGTATTTCGAAGAATTTTAATGTAAACCTCTCATTCATTAATAAAACTACAATAAAATATAAAATAAGTTTGATCAATTTTACTGAAATGCATGGTAAACATTTTTTTAATATTGTATTGTACAACAATTACTATATTTTCAGGTTAAATTTTAAAAGAAAATTCTCTCCGTGTATATAATACCTGTAACTCTGATAACAAGTCAACAATTGCGTCGATCAGCCCATGGATGAGTGATAATGATGAATCACGTACACATTGCATGATTTAAACACGCAGTTATCTTGTGGTACTCATATTTGGTAACAGTGATCTAGTTTCGAAATTAATTTACACCTGATGCGACGCGACGTAGAATCAAAATTTTAGTTGATTGGGGTGTGTTTAATTGTGCTCACTTTTCCCTCCCGCTTCGGTTCACAAGATCTCTCTGTTTCCGATCTAAACAGTATATTCCACCAAAGTAAAACCGAATTAAGAACTTTAGTGGAAACTAGACTGTATACTAGTATACAATATGTACGGTATACGATATAATGTGCATTATAATATTCGAGAATTATCGGATAGCGAATTCTTGAAAATTAAAAATGTCTTAATCAAACCCATCAAATGTTTTAATGGTTTATGTTTAATTAAATATTTTTATGAATATAATTTATTGAGATTAGCGATAGCATAGTCACCATTAAATCCAAGAGATCCAAGAAAATATGATGTCCGTTTCAAGTGTCCGTTCTTGCTTTGCGGTCCCGCCACTTGTAAATACCCTGAGAAAACTATCAACGATGCATCTGGCTATTCATGGGTCGCAAATCCAGACATTCGAGCGAAAGCGATGGGGTGGATATGTTGTGTCCATCCGATACCGTTACGATGCGTCGCTGTGCCTGTGAGCGTGAGACAGATGCAAATGGCGAATGCATTCATCCGTTGCTGGGACCGGCGATCACGGGAAAAATCGCAAATAACGGGTTGCGGCCGTTTCATGGGCGCACCATAGAAATGTGGGTTATGCAGCCAAAAGAGCAAAAATTTGTATACATAAGAAAGGAGGCTGTGCGGTGAATTGAGCGCCGGGATGCTTTTCTATGAATGACAAGCTTCAAATCTGGAGCCTAGAATGGACGACTAAATTTGGCGTGATCGCGAGACACCGACATAATGAGGCATCGCTGTCGTCGTATCAGAAGTAACCCTTCATACTGACGAGGTTCGTTTTTCATTTTATTATATATCTGTATATCAATAATCTATATTATTATTATGTAGATTACTTTTATTAGATTATTTTTATTAATAAAGGTACTAATAACTTATAACTTTTTTATTAGATTACCTTTACTTAGATCATTTTTATTCTATATATCAATTTTTTTTAATATTAATGAGACTATATATTAATGAGGCGGATAGGAGAGCAACTACGAATGTGTTACCTATGATTTTAATACCCATGACTATAATATGAAATGACGATTGTTTTTCGCAAAAAGAGATAATGGTAAATGCATTCACAGTTTAGAACTTTTATTGAGGGATATTTGTTTGCTTTTCTGCTGTTTACTGCTTAGAATAATAATGTTGAGAATTATTGGAAAGTAATTATTCGCTTATTGATCTAATCAGTACATTTTTTTAAATACGAACATTTTTAAATACTTTAGCAAAATTATTTTTCCCGTGCATGACATGTAAAAGAATCCCGTAAATGAAAAATAGATTCTTTTAATTTATTTTCACTAGAAAACAAACTGTCTATTGAAAAATGATGTTTAATAAGTTTTGGCTCAACTATTATTGTGCTTCTTTAGAAATGAATTAATGCTCCCTTGAGAAATAGAATGACATTCAAGCATTCAACGTAATTTTCTTTTGAACTGAATAATAGAATTGCTAGCTTTGCAATGTTTATACAACCTTACACAATTAATATTAAACTTCCATAAATCATACTGACAAGCGTAAAACAAAAATATCTAGTACAAAAACCCTTTTCTCTATTCTGAAGTCATTAAACTTTCAGTTTGTAGACCGTTATAAGTATCGTTTGTAGAGCTGTATATACTGTATATAATTATTGATCCTCAAGATGGAGGTTTATTTGGAAGTTAACATTCAATTTAAGTGTCATTTCGGACCGCTAACGCCTAGTTCGGTGTATTTTTTTTGTAAGGGATGAGCATCGGAATCTTTATATACGTATCGAATACTTAATGTCATTTTGTAATTTTTACAAAATATACAACACAATTAAAACTTAAGCCTTCTATCAGTCACGTTGATAAGAACAATCAAAAAGAGGAAATCTTTTCTTCTGCTCTGAAGTCAATTTAGGTGTCTGCGTATTCTATTTAGAATTCTATTTATTTTTAAACATACTGCATATGTTTATTTTTTCTAAAGAACTTTGCGCAAAATGACTTACAAGAGAATAGTTAAATATCACCATATATGTATATATTATTGTGTACGTCACCAGAAAAATAGTTTTAGATTCTAAGTTGAAGAGCAGAAAAAGTTAGTTTAATTAAAATTATTACTTATTATTCACTAGTTAATAAAGTTTTGAAAAACCACTGCAGTAAAATAGTCGAGGTTCTCTCTATTTTTGTAGTATTTATATTTTGAACAATATTATTACCAAGTGTTTCAGACCACTTATACACCCTATTTAAAAACGAGAGAAATATAGTTATTTAAAAAAATGTTTTAGAGAGACAAAAGTTGTTGGGGGTTAAGTAATGCATTACATTGGCATATTCGATTGACCTTAGGTAGCAAGGCCATGTCAAGGTCGACTTGAATTTTTTTAATAGGAACCCATATCTTTCACTGCATATTCTTATAGCTGACGTCGAGATTTGTAATTTATAAATCTTTATAACTTACAAAATAAAAATAAATTACAAATAAATATTTTTACTTGAGTAATCTAATCGCATTATTATTATAACTTGCGGAAATTGACACTAAATTAACTTATGTGAGATATTAGCATTTTTTGAAATTTATTAATAAGAATTAAGAAACGAAAGAGCATAAAACCACAGCACAAGTTGTTTTATGTGATATTTAATCTATTCAATATTTCAAAATTAGACGTTTCGGCCATTATCTGGCCATCTTCGGTAATTACAAAATAAATAAACGCGTAGGATAACATAACAGAACAATGATACACAATGTCGATACGTTTTCAAGATAATAGTCCAATTTGTCTGTCAAAGTGCCTACGATGAAGTAGAAATGTTAACGAATTGCGGGAAAAAACAGGTATGCAGTTAATTTTGTATTAATCAGTTCAGGAGATATTAATTGTATCACATTTTTTGTATATTAGAATCTGGAAACTCTCTTGATTGACACACAATTCGAAACAATTTCAATAAACCTCATCTACCACAGAACACATGCGCACGTATAATACGGATAAGATTTGGAAATTTGACTAAATTGATTAATGACGGCGATGTTTATAATTTTGTATTTTATGCGTTTATTTATTTTGTATTTACTAAAGATGGATAAGATTTGGAAATTTGACTAAATTGATTAATGACGGCGATGTTTATAATTTTGTATCCTATGCGTTTATTTATTTTGTATTTACTAAAGATGGATAAGATTTGGAAATTTGACTAAATTGATTAATGACGGCGATGTTTATAATTTTGTATCCTATGCGTTTATTTATTTTGTAATTACTGAAGATGGCCAGATAATGGCCGAAACGTCTGATTTTGAAATATTGAATAGATTAAATATTACATAAAACAACTTATGTTATGTGGTTATATGCTCTTTCGTTTCTTAATTTTTTTAGTTTATTATCTGATAAAACAGATCTAATCGATTTCAAAATATTACTCGAGACATCCAGAGTTTAATGATTGTGCAATGCGCACATAGTACTTAGATATAAGTCAGAATCAAACTTTATTAAACATAAATTTGAACAAAAAACGCGATGAAATCGTAGCTCCCAGAATTGGCAGCGTCTTTATTAAAATTATTTTCCTCTATTGTTCGTCTGTATCGATATAGATTAATTTTATTTTCTTACATGTTTATTTTTACGAATGTAGATTAACTTTAATCCTGGTTTGATTTACTTTTTATCTTTTTCTGAACCTAAAAATTAAAATTAAGAAAAGAAAAAGTACGATTCTAGCACGATTCCTTTTTTAATTGATTTCTCCATATAAACAACTGAAATAACTATACACATATGAACATTTCTGGGGTGACAAAATTATTATTACACGCGGGCGGCCAATTCTTTTTGCATATCTGTATTTAGTATAATCTGCAGTAGACCATGTAAAAATGAGCGATATTAGATTCCCTTATTAAATTATTATTATTATATTATATAACAATATAATATTATATTATAATTTATAAAAAAAAGAAAACGATATACTTATTTAGTATATCTTGATATATATAGATATATCTAGATATATTGATTTTAACAAATACAGAACAAAATAATATATTATTTCTCAGTACATAAACTTTTAGATTGTACAAAATAAAAGTATATTACAAGTATATATATACACATAAAGAAATATTTTAGAATAAAATAAATAATATATACTATAAAATGAAAAATATGCTAAAATAAGGAATTACGTAAATGTACGTTCATGTCATGTGCTATTTCACACTTTGGTTTGTGTTATTTTGGAAATCGCTTGTGATTACCTGTAATTCAAAAGAACACGTGTCTTTTCGACGTTCAACCAACAGGTTGCACAGTTTCCCCACTACTTTCCCTAAGAAAGAAGTTTGGGGCCTCAGAAGGGTAGCTATATAAAGCTTCTCCAACCCCGAGCGAAACTAGATAGATATAGAAATTTGCCCAGTAAAGTTTGTCTCGAGTAAGAAATCCAGTTTATCTCTTTTCCTACGTTCGAAACAAATACATATTAAAGTAATCACGCGTTCGCGGTAATCAAATATAATAATAAGAAAACGAGCATATTGACAGTGTTGTACTATCAGTGGTTTCAATGTAACCTTGGATTAAGCTTGGATTATTAGGTAAGTATATTTACAAAATTGCGACAGAATTCTGTCGAGTAATAGTTTTACATTTTTTAAGCTTGAAAAATAAAATTTTTTTTTAATCTTGTGCATACTATATATTACGTATCGTCTAATTTATCCATTAAACTGTGCTGTAAAATCGAGAAACTAAAAATAACTTTATATTTCATACATAAGTCACTGAGTGTGCGTTATTTTAAAATGTTCTATCAAAGAAAATATACTTTTTTCACTTTTAAACCGCCGTCGACAAAATTCTCCAGTAGTTTCAGATTATGGTCAATTCTCTCTAAGTAGAATCGCATAAGACTCGTAACACTTTCTCGTAAGATTTTGTTACGAATGTATATACTACTAACTTTATGCAATAACTCCCTACAGCTTCTTGCTAGTGTAAGATTTACAAGAAATCGTAGATATTTGCAAATAATCGTGTTACGGCACACACACAGACACACGCGCGCACAATTAATTTCAAATCTATTTGTCTCTAATATACAAGAAAGAATAAAAAACTATCTGTGTGTATTACATAAATTTATTTGAGAATAACTTATCTAATGGACCCCCCTATTTATGATTATATATGAGATCTATACATGGAAAAAAATTTTTTTTTAGAGTTTACCCCGAAAATATGATAGTCATAGGATAACATTGTATTTTGAAGAATTTTAATATAAATCTCTCTCATTCATTAATAAAATTACAATAAAATATAAAATAAGTTTGATTAATTTTACTGAAGTGACAAAAATCTTTAAAATATTGTATTGTACTAGAACTACTATATTTTCAGGGTAAATTTTAAAAGAAAATTCTACGTAAGAAGCTCGTTATTGTTTATTATATAATGCGTACATTTTTAAGTTGCATTCTTTTACATTCTCTTTCGTTTTATAATTAAATTAAAAAAATGTTTATAATGAATATCATTAAAGCCTGAGTGCAGTGCTTGAGTAGGAATTGCCGATAGGAAGTGATTGAACACGCTTTTCTTACAAAAATATTTATTCCGTCGTACTCTCATTTATGCCACAGCTATACGAAAATAATGAAAATCAAGCGCAAATGTATTATATTACCAATGCACGTGACACACAAGATTTCCGAGCAATAGACTTCATCAGTGCAAATTTATTGTGTGAAGTTAAATTAGTAAATAATTGTTGTATTTTGAATTTATAGTCATAAATTTTTAAGATAACAATTACTTGATTGATTTATTATTTCTTATTACATCTCAGATACAAATTCGAAAGGATTTGAGTTACTTAAATTTTTCGAAGTAAAAATTTTCGAGCTGTACGTTTGAATGGAATTAATAGTTTAAACTTTCAATAGTTTTACATTTCTAATTACATAAATGTTATATTTCATTATGCTGGCAAAATAATATAAAGGATATAACAATATATTATTTTTCCTTTATTTAAAGAACAATCAAAGTTGAAAAAAAGTTTGCAGGGAAAATATTGCTACAACTGAAAAATTGTGTTAGCGTAATAGTTAGAATTTGAATTATTACAGAATTAATTAGGATTTTTTATTGAAAAAGACTTGTTAAATTTTATGCTAATATAAGATTGTTTAAAATTTTTAATGTTTTTTTAGAATGTACATTCTTTAATTTTTACATTCGTCGCACATATATTTGCAATATATATGAATATATACACGCAATATATTTTCAATATATATGAATTAATAATTAATAATAATTTGTATCTTGTTGCAGCTAAATATAAATGATGATGATGGAAAACTATTACAAAGGACATAATGGAAGTCGTTTTGGACATTCATTTGAGCAAAAAGACAACTCAGACTTTAATACGTTGGTTCTGGATTTATCACGCAAGAAGCACGTGACGTCTACATTATCCGAAGTCGGAATAATTCAACCCATTGGCTTATCGCAAACTTTATCTTCAGCAAAGGAGCAAAAATATCAAGAAATACATTTTCTAGATGAAAATACACAGACTCCTATCGCAGGCAGTAGTGCCATGCTATCACCATATTCCGAATCAAATTCACCGAAAAAGATGAAGACTGATTCTGTAGACTATCATGAAAATAGTAACCAATTGAAACTTACTGTGCCATTAACAAATACGCATAATATTACTCCAGGAGTAACAATGGTAACGCCTCAGCAGCCATCGCTACTTGCATTCCCGAACGAAGCCACGAATATTCCCGTAGTATCGAAAATATATTTACCGTATATAGAAACACCACAATCTTTTATAACGAATAATGAGATCAGAAAAATCGTTTCCATGCCAACAGAATGCTCGACGTCGGATATGAAACTATCAACGTCTTCGGAGAAGAAAACGCCAAGACCTTTTAAGGCATACCCAAACAATTTTTTGACTGTTGTTAACACTGTTGATCATAATTCGAATGAGAACTATGCAAAGTTCCGTCAGATGATACTTGAAAACGTACAAAAAATGAACAAAAATACATCGAATCCTAAAATGCGTCGAACACCTAGGTCTGTTAGCAGTCCTGGATTGCCTACTAGTACCGTCGATGAGAAAGATGCTATTTATTGGGAAAGAAGAAAAAAAAATAATGAAGCAGCGAAACGTTCTAGAGATGCTCGAAGGGCTAAGGAAGACGAGCTCGCAATTCGAACGAGTTTCCTCGAATACGAGAATGCGCAACTGAGGATGGAAGTACAGAGACTCAAGATGGAAGCAGAAAGACATATTTATTTACAATAATTTGTATTAAAATAATTTGATTAGTTGTGAATTATTATTACGGCATGTGATATCTAGGCTGCGTTCCACTCAACATTCGCAACGCTTTTTGTAATGCAAATTAATACGGATTAAAATTTAATATGTAAAATTGTTAAAGTATTTGATTTGTGCAAACAGAGATATTAAAAATGTCGAGCATCGTTTGTCCTTGTTTAACATTTGATAAATGACAAGGATGAAATGATTTCACGAGCGTTGTGTTAAGTGGAACACAGCCCTAGTATACAATAACGGATTTACGCCGAATTTCTTCATTTCTAGATAAATTGCGAGTAACTTTATCCAGGAGATATCCCATTGTAAATCTGAAAAAATTTATGGATAAAATTATCTAGAGGTGAAAAAATTGGGTATTAACATGATGCAGTTTCCATAACATCTATTGCAAGAAATATATTTAATGTTTGATACATATATATATATATATTTATTTCTTTAATATATTTAGTGTATAAAATATATAACTATAAACTATATATAACATATAGTTTGTATATATTTTTTTATATAGTATGAATGAGTATGTATGAGTATATGTATGTATTTATATAGTATGTATGAGTATATGTATGAGTACATACATACAAATACTATACTACTCTTAGATATATTGTCACATATGTAGTATAACTGTGCATATGTGTGTACATATATTACTGTACTAATTCTTTACCATGTCATAAAAATATTCACAACTGATGACAGAAAACATTTTGACAGATTATTCGTTTCTTGTGTAAATATATCTTTGAACATTTTTCTTTAGATACTAAAGTATTTATAAATTATCACATGTAAACTCCACACAACCATATGATGTTCCAGTATAAAAACTATAAGTTGCGTCGTATAAGAAATTAAAACTGAGAATGTGTGGAATTATGTGGTAATTTTTAAATATGCTTTATAATTGGCGCTATTAATATAATAATTACAAATAATAGACATATAAAAATATCAAAATTGACACAATATTAATACGACTCTGTCCTATTTTTGTAATACAAAATAATACGGATTAAAATTTGTTAATATGTAAAATTGTCAAAGTATTTGATTTGTGCAGATATTAAAAATATCTTGTATATACAGTATGTATTGATTTAAGCTAAGTTTTTACCAAAGTTTAGCATAATAAACGTTCGGAAGTTTGTAAACATTATTATACACATATTATATACACATATTATAACATTATATTTCATGAAAAGAATAAAAGTTCTTTTGTCCTATTATTGCTTTGAAGCACTAAAATATTTAAAATATAATTTCTATAATTTCCTTTCTTATGTATCGTACAAATGTATTTTCAAATACATTTGTTATAAAACGTTTTCTTAATTTTTGTCTTAATAAAATTAATATATTCTTACAGTTATATATACAAACCTTTTAAAACATTTCATTAAAATTAAAAAGAAAATTTTGCATACACATAAATTATCAATCAGGCAATGTATCTGCAAGTTCCATCATAGTATCTGACTCAAGAACATTCTTTTCTCTATTTTGATTATTTGTAAGTACCTTTGAAAAGGATCTTTGTACTTGCCTAGGGATAAAAGCTAATGGTGTTATTTTACTTTTTACGCTAGTCGATGAAATTGTTTCTACACTATCATTGTTTTTACAGACTGCACTAGTGGTATCTTTTGTGAACATCTTGCTTTTCTGATTTTTATTCAAGAGTATCTTAGTAGGTTTCTTCTTTTTTTTATTGTCAACAATATCATATTCCATTTTATTCGATTCCTCTTCCTTGGTGTAATACGGCGTATCATCGAACCGATATTTCTTTGGAAATTTATGTACTCTAATGCAATGTTCCTTCCTTTCCATTGGATTGTTGAATTTTATGTCACATTCAGAATCGTAACATTGATACTAGAAGAATATCTATATTAAGTATATTTAACAATACTGTAACATAGATTTATATACAAAAAGATAATCTATATATGTATACCATGGTTTGCTTCTCTGATAAAACTTTGAAGAAGGCATCGTGCGTTTCTTGAATATGAATCTCCAACAAGCGTGGATTTGGCTTGGATACTTTACATTCTGTACAAGCATATCGATGCGAGCTGTTATAATGCATTTCATAATCAAGTAGCGTTTGAAAAGTGTTCTTGCATCCTGGGATATAACATGGGAATTCCTTGATTCTAAAACCAGATATTGACTTTACTTTTCTTTATTATAAATCACGTAGGCAACCACTTCTCTTCCATTGTAATAAAAACAATATTATAGGATTCTTGAAATTTCTTTGCAGAATTCTTTAGAAGATGAATCATGCAATATTGAAGCACACAACAGGGTAGTGATAATAAAAAAAAAACAAGTTTTTATGTCACTATTTTTCTTAAAGAGAAGTCTGTACTCACACTTCGTGGCAAAGTTCCTCCTCGTCATCAATCGTGACGCCCTTTCTCTGGAAGACCTTGCAAACTTTGTAAGAATCTTCGAAGAAGGGGTCATTCACAGGGCGAATTCCGACACCTAACTGTTGAAGAACCTCTTCCATAGCGCATTAAATCAGACACCGTATAAATAAATGTAGCGCGCGTTTCCTTTGAGAAATCTTAATGCGACTATATTTATTAATTTTTATTATCGATCGAATAAATGCAATGTTTATTGTTGTACATACTGCCTCTAACCTCCAACGACACAACGAATACTGTTATGCCGGCCGCATTCGCGGTCCAAGATGGCGTCTCGACTCTCGACCCCTTGGCTGCCGGTTCGACTTATCGCGATGCACACCACTTCGATAATCGAAATTTGAACGCGAGCAGTTCCCGTAAAAGTGACGCGACCCGGTTTTCGCGGAGTGACGTTTTGTGGCGAGTTACGAGGGAAATATGCGGGCAAGAGTTCGCGTTTACGAGTGAGAATCGGTAACGCGCGTCGTCCGGTGATAAGGAATCATAGGCGCGTTGTTAATTTTTCGCACGCGCTCCGGGTGTAGCGTTAAATTTAGAGAGCTAAACTCCGCCGAGAACACCGAACGATCCGACGAGCCATCATGGCCGCTCTTTGATCGCGATCGCGAAACCGCGCATCCGCGTATTTATGATCTAAGATGATATTCGAGATGCAATCTTCTTGACGAGTCTTCTTGATGTTTATCGAAGGAGAATGGGACTTACGGATTAGCAAGGTAGAGTGAAATACTGTAATTGAAAAATGGCAGCAAATAACATCACTTTGCTGCCTGAACTTTATTCAACGTATCTCAGGCAGCAAAATGATGTTATTTGCTGCCATTTTGATTTCAAGGTGTTAAAAACGTCATTTGACTCCAAAATGACAAAAATTACGTCATCTTGCTGTCTGAGATAATATAACTTTATTATTAATTTTATTATTTAATGTATGATTTAGAGAGCGATCCTGAGGCTTCTGAATATTTCTCGGAAGGAGGATAAGGTCGAGTCTTGACGTGCAGATGGTTGGCAAGGTAGGACAAAATACTGAAACTTCATTCAATATATCTCGAATAGCAAGATGATGTTATTTCAATGTTATTTTGACGTCAAAATGTCAAAAATGTTATTTTGACGGGTGGTTTTGATTAGAATGGTGACAATTAAATAACATCATCGTACTACCTGATGATATAGCTTTATTATTTTTATTATTTTTGTATGATAAAGACTGCGTTCCACTTAATACTCAACGTTCATGGAATCATTTCATTTTTGTCATTTATCAAATGTTAAACAAGGACAAACAATGCTCTAAGCGTTGGGAGATTAAGTGGAACACAGCCTCAGAGTACAATTCTGTGGTGTCTTTTGGATATTAGACGGAAAAAAGGAAATTGGCAAAGTAGGAAGTATTGAAACTTCAATATATGATACAACATAATTTTATTACAGCGATATAGACGCAGCAATAGGTGTAAGTGGACTAATAATAGATGTAGAGAGAAATTAAAAATTGAATATTGAAATGGAAAAGAAAGTGATAATTGAAACAAATATAATTTCGGCAGATTTAATTTCCGATGTTATTTGTACGAGAAAAAAAAACGTTTTATTTGCAAATAAGCTGAAAATTTATTGTTATTTATAATAGGCACTTGAATATATTAGGTGTTGAACTTAATTCCTGCTGCTCGCTTAATTTAAAACAATGTTCCACACCTCTAAAAAATCTAAAAAAAATTTTTTTAATGTAATATGCTAAAAAGTATGTCAAACATTACATTACAAAAATTTTTTTTTAGATTTTTTAGAGGTGTGAAACATTGTTTTAAATTAAGCGAGCGGCAGGAATTAAGTTCAACACCTAATATATTGCTGATAAAGATTAACAAATCACTAGGGACTATGCTGATATGATTAATTTTATTTTCTCATGAAATCAAAACATAACGAGAAATAACAAAAATACATTGTTGATATGTAGTAAGTCATAAATAATATGTATAATCGACGTTCTATTCAACTAACAATCGCGTCTTCAGGTTTTCCAATATCTCTGTCATCCTGTTCTCTAGTTCATCCCTTCTTTGTATTTCTTCTCTTTTCTCCTGTAACATATACATATGGAAAAAGAATATTTTGACGTAAGATATTATATATTTTTTTTCATAAGAAATCTGTCTAGATAAATTCTAAATTATTAATTTTTTTACTAATATTTAATTTCGAAAACACATATATATACTTTTATTTCAATTTAAAAATAATTTAATATTAAATAAGTAAGCTATTGGTTTTTAATTTTTTGAGAAATATTTTGAAAAGCATTTGTGAAATGAAATTTAATTATTTTCGATTATACACATTAAAATTTTTATGATTTATAATATAAATAATTTAATTGAAGATATAGAATATTCAAGATGTTAAACATTCTTTTCTTTTAATTTTTAAAGATTGAAAAAGACACTTTCTTGTTTGCGTTTATTTGTATATGTGTTGTGTGTGTGTGTGTGATTTTACTCCACATGTAGTCTGCATAAACTATTAATATTATGCGTGTGCCGTGTATTTGCGTGATTTTATTCTACACATCTGCACAGACTGTTAATGTAATTAATAATTTATACAGTCAATTATACACTTCTTTGTATTACATTATATGTTATTCTTGAGAGAATGACAGAATACAAGAGGAATTATTAAAATTAAAACTGAGTACAACTCGAGAACTTCATGCGAGTAGCAGAGCTAGTTATATGAAACGTGTATGTGACCTTTTTTCCACATCGAAATAGATTTTATTTGTTGCGCAAATTAACGAATGAACAATGTTTTGCCCGCACACTAATAATTTACTTGAAATATTTTTATGTAACATTACAATTAGATATTGCGTATAAATTCTACGTAGTGGATCGGTCCGTTCGGCTTTAATTGCGTCTGTTCCGACACTCTCAAGGTCGCCACTTTGTTCCGGTATTCTCTGACTTTGGCTTTCTCCGTGTCATTTTCTGGTTCATCGGTCTGTTTTATGATACTTTCGTCATCGTGATGATAAGCGGTCGGTTCCGGTGCAATGAACGCATCCGATTCCTCTGTAGTTTTGCCATTCTCCTCGACAACTTTCGTTGCATTATTGCTTTCGCTTCCAAAGTTATAATCGTCTTTGCTGAAACCGAAGAAATCATGCGCGCTCTGGGGATTGTCGAATGGCTTGCTCGTCAGAGTTTGCTGCGAAGCCTTTGCCTCTTCGTTGTTCTTGCGATTTTCTTTTTCTGTGTGCAAACTCCGTCGTTTTCTTAACAGCCGCGAATGACGCGGCCTTTCCGACGATCTACTTTGCGCGTTCCGATTTAAAGGCGGAATATTCTGCAATGTAAAGACTGGTCGAAGAGATTGCTCGGCCGTATTACTTGGTGGTTGCGGCCTGTGTATCTTATTCGACCAATTTTCCGTGTTAAGAATTTGACTTTTTATGTCAATATTAAACGGTTCTTCTCTCTCTCTCTCTCTCTCTCTCTCGCTTTGTGGCCTGCGTTCTTCAAAAGTGTATCTATAACGATCGAGTACGTTTGCTGGAATTTCTTGAGGCTGATAGTAATAGTCATATGGACTATTTGTGGTCTCGTTCAGATTGTATTTGGTGATGTTAGGTTTTACTTGGACGATCTGTTCACTGGCGCTTTGTTGATGAGCAACGTAGACTGGGTCTCGCGGAACTTCGGCATGTGGATTAGGAACTTGACTTTGCGAGTTCACAGCTTCGTTGGAGAAATAATAAAAATTGTAAGGCTGTCTATGTGGATGTTCCGGATTACCAACGAGTACGAGATAACCGGAAGGTTGTTCTGAAGACTTGTCATTCGCGTCTTGTGCTGCGATTTTTTTTACAACATGTTGATAATAATTTGGAGCATAATTTTGTGCGATAGGATAATAATTTGGTAAATTTGATGGAACGATAGTAGCCGCTGGTTCCGTATTGTCAAAGGCGTAATCGAAAGGCGGTGGCCATACTTGAAACTCTTTGTGATCGCCTTCGTGTAATTGTCGTGGTCTTTCAGGCAAACCGATCTGCGGAGTCAGCAGAGTCTGCTCTTTAAAGATTGTTTGCATGGGACCCATATTGTTTTCACTGAATCGGCTGTCTGTTAATTTATCTGCCTCTTTATAGTTCAGCCGTCGTGTAGTTGCTTGCTGTATCTTGTCATTCGCATCGATATAACGCACAGGCACGACTAAAGGCACGTATGTTCCATAATCGGCTTCTTCCTGCGATCCCGCGTTCTCTAATCTCACATCATCGTCTTCCTTATCACGGAATTGTCCCGGTTTTTTAGGTCTTCTTAATGTATCATTTTGGATTCTCAGATTCTCTCTATCATTTCTATCCGCTTCATTTTCGTCATTTAAGTCATATTCTTCGTACTTATTCTCCGGCAAGGCGTATTCTTCTCTGAGCTTCTGCAGCCTATTCAAATGTTCGTCGTAACCATCCTCGGCAGATGTCTCTTCATTCTCTTCCCGCGACACATCTTTGGGATTGTTGTGAACTCTTTGCGAATCATAGGCGTTAGTTTGAACATATGGATGCTTGAACATATTTACGTAATCGGCGATTCTATCATCCTTTAATTTCTTATTGTCTAATACCTCGCCGTAGCTGTCACGAATCACTTCGGGATTACCCTCGTGGAAATAATCGCCGATAGGCAACTGCTGATATCCTATTTCTACGTATTTGTCGAAATCCGCAGGTTGTTTATATCCATTAAATTGTTTGTTAGAATGATCGTCGTGATAATCTTCGTTTTCCTCTTTCTCATCCTTTGGAGATTGCTTCGGGGACTGCTTGTTCGGGAGATTCTTCTGGTTGGCATACTCTTTATGTCTTTCCACGGAGCCTTCATCTTCCTCATCATGATGCGTTGGTCTTCTCTCTTCTGTTGATTCATCCTTGGAAACATCTCGATTTCGATCAGCGATTTCCTCTTCATGGTCCCTGTATCTCTCATTTATTTCTTCCTCTTCGTAATGGTCAGCTTTATCACGATGTCTTTCTTCTTCCTCCTGGTTTGGATTCTTGATGTGCTCTTGTTGTTTGCGTTGCAATTCGTTAGGTTCGTTATTTTGCTGCTTGTTCAGCTCGTCGATATGTAATTGATGATTATATTTGTTCATTGGTTTCTTCACGTCCTTCTCATCGTAAATATCTTTTTCCTTCACCGTGTATCGTTCTGTGTCTTCGTTACTCCTATATACCGTCTCCTGCTCTTTCCGAACTGGCGTTTCCACATTTTCGTTTGAGTCACTGACAGAAACGGGTGGAGAAGGATACGGCAGTTCGAGATTCTCGACAGGATCGATTGGTAGAAGATTCGGCGCAAGCGGCAATGGGATCTTGACGAAGAACGGCGCCAACAGAGGCTGTTGCGTCTGCAAGTTTGTCCTCAGATCCATCGGAATCTTTGCAGGAAGCGTTGATGCGGGTCGCGATGTCGTCATCATCATTGTATTATTTTGACGACCGTGAAAGATCTGCTCATATTGCTGAAGATGTCCTAAAATGTTTGAATTATTGCCAAGGTTTAGCACACCGGTAAACCTGATAGTTTCTTGCTGCCTTGGCACAGTGGTATTCGCTGGTTGAGAAGATGCAACATTTTGTTTTACATCAACCTTGGGCATCATATTGGGCATTGCAGCGGGTTTTGTGACATTCGGATTGGGCAGCGAAGCGAATTGAACTGGAGTCACCGTATATCCAAAAATCTGGGCAAGACCTGATAGCAGAACACCGAGAGCTCTCTTATCACGAGGATTTTCCGTAGATTGTGTGTCGATTCCATCGGTTTCTTGTATAGGGATTTTCGATAGATTTTGGATGTATGTCAAAGGTCCTGCTCCGAATTCGGCGATTTCTTCCGGTGGCACCTCGAACGCGCGCGCGACGCACAGTAAACATAGAATTAATATTTGTTCATACAATTCCATCGTGGAAGACACCTAATTGATGTTCGGAAACAATCGCATACTGCACATTGAATCTATGTATTAAGTCACTTTTAACTATCAAACTAAGGCACTTTATTTTCGTATTAAACACGCGTTTCTTTTAAAATCAGTCTTTATTTTATCTGAAAAATTTACACATTCCTGTTTATATTTTAGCGTTTGTCTTATGTCACCAATTACTGTTATACTGTTTTTATTAGAAGATAAACAATAATAAATTATATAGATAAATGACTTAAAACTCTTGGCCGTAGATATTATTGCAATAATTGCAGTTGGATCGCGCTACTTTCGTGCCTCAGAACTCCACGAGGACTGTCGGCCGATTGTGGCGGCATAGCTTGTCATTAAACAGTGACTTGACGGGCGGGGATAATTTTTGCATAATATCGGAAAGAAATATCGAGTTTCTCTTGAATTGTACGAGCCTACTCGTTGATTTGCGACAAATGAAGCAGTACGATGCAATGCGCGCACGGGAACGATCGAGGTACGGAATCGCGCGCGAATAAGTTGGTATTACTGCTAAAGAAATAAATGCAAGAAAATTATGCGCGCTCATGCGATTCTGGCTGGATAAATTCTCTCTCGCCATTTAATTGCACGCAAAAATGACATATCTATCGCAATATTCCACAGTTTTTAAGAGAACGATAGATCCACATTAAATTTGTTAGTTTCCATCGTTAACAATAATTAGGTTTTATAAATGAAAAATTAAAGGTGAAAATTGCTTAATAATCTAATTATTCTATCTAGGAATGATTACAGCGAGAAACAACAAAAGAAATGAATTTTTTATTCTTGGTTACTTATAGAGAGGCCAATTGTTTGTTACGATAATATTTTTAATTCTATAAAGATAAGCATTTTTTTTATGTAAGAATTAATTTTTATAGTTCTTACAGATAAGCATTTATTTATATAAAAATGAAGAATATTTTTTATTTGAAATTATAATGCAGAAAAAAGTTTAAGATAACTAAGCCAGCTATTAAAGATATGACAGACTTGTCGTGCATGCTTGCGTTTGTGCATTTTTTTTAGTTTCCTAAGTGAAAGGGGATTCACCAGTGCGTGCACAAGCGTAAAATTAATTTGTATTTACTGTCGGTATCTCAGATTCTCAACTTACGATAGCTTGTCTACAAATGTAAAAATATTTTTATTTGTTCCGTTGAGAATTGCCAGTGTGAAGAAAAATTATTGTTCTCGTAACAAACTTTCTTATATTCGGGTCGACAACCTTATACTTTTAGAATCTAAAATAAGAAGCGAATATTGTTAAGAATAACACTGCCGATGTCGAATTAATCAATAGAGAACCGATATTGATTTCGATGAATTAAAATTTTACTTGTCAATGCATGTACGTAATTTATATTTCCCATTTTAAATGTGCTACATACAAAAAGAAGAAACCTACATTTTGGACATAATAATGAGATGTAAATATAACATGATATATTTTTAAAAATGATATGAAATTTGAAGAAGGCTTCTTGTACTAACTCAACTTTTAATTTGTATTAATTAACGCGATGTATTTAGCTGAACGAAGAATTTTGAAATTCAATCATTATGTAATAGATAAGAAATTTATTTAAATATATCTATATATGATAGCATTATATAAAATATATCTATCCGCGCGAGCGTTATATAAAATGTACCTGTTCGTGCGAGCATTTCCATAAAAACAATTATATTGCGTCCGACTACAGTTGATTGTGACAGTAGAAAGACGGGAATATTATGAAAGGTTGATGACAATAAATATCAATTTGAGTCGTTGTGTCCAATTAATATCGACGTGACCGATCACGATGATAACGTGTGTACGTTAGTACCAATTATGTGCTTTTTATACCTCAATTTAAACTTCGGTACGCTACCCTTCACGATTGAAATCCATGTAGGTACTACAATTTAAACTAAATTATAGTGTACATGTATTTTTCTTAAATCTTTATTGTTTTTGATACTTTTCTCTTGTTTTTATTTATAATTATGTAACTTTGCCACTGCCGGTTCTAACTCACTGCCAGATATAAAAAGAGAAAGACTGACTGAAAGATAATTCAATTAGCGAGTAAAACATCAACGCCGAGTATCTGATAGCGGTTAAATAACCCGTCTAACTCATACAGAGGTTTTAATGATCTTGAGACTAAATCAAGTAGTACGGATGATGGTAGGTTGAGCGATCAGACTAGCAATCGGTTTTAGCACCCAGGCTGGGTGATGTGAAATAAGCGACCGAAGCTTCTAATGAGGACCATGCCAGGCCTTTGAAGGAAGTAATACTCCTGAAGTGATCATAGATGCCACAAACAAAATGTAGAATGAGGAAATGTGAGAGGCATATGCCAACCTTGCAGGATCATAAATAAGAGCTATTGTAAAGATAAAAACTTTTTAAGAGTTTGTGCATTGATAAATCATTCCCTGAACTATTAAACCTTCAACTTCTTCAAGAAAGTCCGTTTATTGTCCAAACAACTTAGGTCAAAATCGGACAAAAAAGGATTTAAAAAATTCAATGTTATGGAGTCAGCTGTCCTGGCGAATTCTTACAGATTACGGCATATGGAATACGGTTATGACCAGTAATATTGTCATTTGTTAATACTGACAGTACTGACCGTGTAGAGTCACCTTAAGCGCGTTTAGGATATAAAAATTACCTCGCATTTTAAAATACACAATAACATCAAACTTTGACAATTTTCAAATATACAGTTAGACTGTAAAATAATTCTGTATTAAAATCATGCTGGCAGCTAATTTTTCTACCAATAATAATAATAATTATTATTATTATTTTATTGATGCAACTGTTTACAAGAAGTAGAGAAATATAATACATGATAGAAAATAAGAGCGACAAGTGCACACAAAAGGTGCAACAACAGCTAGAAGCTTAGAAGCCGAACCTAAGTGATAATGAAAATCTTCCAATCTGAATGATAATAATAATAAATCATATAAAAAGGCCATGTCATAAAAAGTCTTTTAATACTTTACAGCGAATAACAAATTCGAAACGTATATTTTGAGAGCAACAAAACAGTGCCAAATTTGAACAAGCGAATTTTTTTTCGAATAGTTTACTTTTGTAACTGCGTACACATTGAAGGTTTTTTGTTATTATTTATACCTATTTTACAAGTAATAAATTCATAACTTGCATATCTCAAGAGTAACAAATTTAGACAACATCTTCGTACCAAATTTAAGTAAGCAACAAATTTTTTATTGATACTTCACTCTTATACCGCCTGCACACTGAGAAATTTTTTCATTATTTACCATTATTTTATAAGCAACAAATTTTTAATTCAATATATATATTGTTACGCTATTTTAATCTCCTTTTAGCGTAATATCGTTTTTTTAATAATTTACAGAGCAACAAATTTTTTTTCTTTGGCAACTTTTTAGCAACAAATAAAAATGTTAGAATTGATTCTGCTCACTTTGTTCCGCTAACTTATAAGACGTTTGTTATGGCTTTCGTAAGTAGATGTATATGACTTGCTCCTTGGTCAGAGAAAGTTGCTATTTCCTAGTTTGGCGACAATAAAACCTCTTAGGACGACGATTCGCGAGGGAAGGATAGAATAAAAAAGCACACTGCGCGTTTAAGGAAGGGCTCGCGATTACACAACATCCTTAACACATTTAAGATTACGTAGCTTTGGATGAATTCGAAATATTTCATGGACGAACACAATGTAAACGGCAGTGCTATTCGAATTGAATGCAAGCGATGTAGTTTTATCTCCTTTGTCGTTAGACATTTAAGTCTTAAATACTTAAATATGGAATAAGAAATCGAGATTATACTCATTTTCATAAACGTTGTTACGCATTACATTATGAATTAATGTGGCAATGTGGCGAAAACGTAGTTACTGAACAAAATCAATTAGTACGGTCATGAAAGCAAATATAAGGCAAAGATATTTCACGGCATTATATTGTAATCTTATTACTTGGGGTGACACATTTTTATTCAATTAAAAAAATCAATTTATTAAAATATTACTTGCATTAATTTTTAATAATGAATTGAACAAATTGTATACGTGATATATTTCTCTAAAATCTTGTAATAGAGTGTATTTAATTTTATAAATTTACAAAAAATTAATATTTATTTAAAAAATTGACTAGTTGTTATGAACATGTTTTTCAAAAATTTACTTTATTATTGGTCATCTAAGAACAGAGTCTACTTGCATAAAATGATGTTATAGAAAAAATTTAGGAGCAAAATTTCTTTAAATTTTCATAAAAATCTCGTATTACTTATATAATTTTTTTGGAATGATTTCTCTCATAGAGATCGTCTCGCGAAAGTGAACGTCTACAATATAGCAATGAGTACTCGTCAATATCTTTTGCTCGATTCTTTGTCGTCGCGTGAAAGTGTAACATTTTTATCTTTTATAGAATAATTAAGAAAACATTATCTTCTTTTCATTGTTATATTTAGCGTAATATAAATCATGCAATTTTATCATATAATTTTATTGCATTTTTTTCGAATATTTTTCATAATATCTTTTATATTGTAAAAAGCAAGTGACAAAATAATGTTCTAACTTCCCATTTATCTTGTATATTTTCGATTAAAAAATGACCTCGGAGATAAATCGCGATACTCTTTCATGCAATCGTTATGTCATTTAACAATTCTTTAGATGGGAGTGGTTTTGTAGTTGTTAGTCGAGATGCTAGTTGTATGTGCGCGCATACCGGTGGATCTAGAATTCACCATAAATTTAGCGAACGACTTGTATAAGGAATCCAGTATAAAAGAAGTGTCAACCCCTTGGGTGCTATCAGTTAGTGCGCACCATTCTTAACATGAAGCTGCTGGTAAGCATTTAATTCATAGAGGTTGACATATAAAATTAGTGAATTTTGTCGGTAACCCAATTTTGTGCGTGAGATATATATAACATCTTTGATTCAATCAATCCAAAATTTTTTATATAAACAAACGTACTGTACGTCATTTTTCCAGATAAGAATGGCATATTTCGGAGAATACATATATTTTGATATGTAAATACATATAAATTTAGAAAGAATAATGATGCCAAAAAATACTCTGTTATAATTTCAAAAATCTGCTTCTGTGTTGCAAATATTAACAAAATTTTGATCAAGCTGGGAACAAATACTGTATTTATTTGAAACATTTATTTCATATTATCATTTATGTTGTTGTTTATCATTATTGATCGCGATATATTTCACTTGACGAAACGATCGTCCAGTTTGCAATATTTCGTACAGTCGTTCGTTAATTATGGTGATTCATATTCGTATTGTCCATATATCGATAATTGTTCTAGCTTTTGTTGTCGTTTATCATTCTGGCCTCCGAGAGTCTCGTCGCGGAAAGAACAGCCGACGGCAATGATGTATCATCACAAGTGACCACTGTTTTTCAAGCTCAACCGAGTGCTCAGGAATTCATAGGAGAAAAAAAATTAGGAAAAAGAAGCTACGATCTGCTTTCCTTGCCTTACACACGCACTTACACTCCCGTGTTACCGTGGTAAATAGTACAGATAAATATCTTGTCAACAGCGCGAATGTAAAAATCTCGGAACAGCAATTTGGCGCTGACAGTTGATTTATGCGTTCGATTTCTCAGGTATCGATTGGGCGGATTGAGTAGCTACGGATTGTACGGCAATGGTTGGTATCCGTCGGGCTGGCCGTTGTCATACGGTGGTTGGCACGGTGGTTGGTATAAAGGATGGTAAATTTCGAGTCTTGAAGTATGCGACTGTCGCTACGAAAGTACGCATCGATTTTTAGCACCTTTTTTAACATTTGATAATTTACGAGTGTTACAATTCGTGTTATCGTAATTCATAATATTTGTTGAGTTATTTGTGGATACATTATAGATAGAAAGTGTCATGACAAGGCATATCGATGTTTATTTTAAATTTAGATTTTACAATAGTTGTTAGTAGATACTTTGAAACTTCATATTTATGGTGCCAATTAGTTGTAATCATGTGTCAATTGTAAGACGATACAGCACTCGATCACTTACACATAAAAAATGAAAGCGTTAAAACTAAATAAATAAGTTATACGTAGAAAGAGCCAAATTATTATGTGCGTACCTTTAATCGTTTCTTTATATATGTTGCCAATATTTCTTCGCATATGGTGAGATTCTTGTCCGTATCCTGTGCAATAAATCAAACGAAATCTGTTTAGAACTCATTGAAAGATAAATTGTTTCACAAACATCAAAGAAAAACTTCATTAATCATTTTCTTTGAACGAGACCTTTAAAATACTTGTTAATTCTTTGATCTTTTGTATCTTTTGCTCTTGGTCGGGAGTCCGCGAAACGTTGCACATCTGGTATGATCCGTACATTTCAAGGTGAAGACGATAGGTAATTCGACAGTCAAATGGTTTTAGGAGTGCATACTTATCACTTATTCGCCGCAGTACGTGTTCTCATGCGCAAGTTACGCAGGGGGTTGCTTAGAAACGAGACGGCAACAAATATTTTATCGGTTTCCCAAGTATTGAATGTTTTTGTTTCGATTTCTCATAATATTCTGACGAATAATAATTGTATTGCAACGGACAAAAAATTTCTTAATTCATCCTTCGACTTAAATTAGATATCGATAAGTATAATAAATTAGATATCATCAACTGATTTGAGAGTTGCCATCTACAGAGTTATCATCTACAGCGAGTATTGAGACCCGGTGGATAAATCGTCTCTCTTCCGCAGTGCGCTTTTTTACTTTATCTAAATACAGCTATACTTTTATAACATTTAAGTAATAGAGAAATGTAAATAATATAAATAATTAAAAAACTTTAATGAATACAAAATATTTTATTTGTAGAGTTTGCCAAATACTGTAATGATAGTTTCCTACGTTATCCATCCCATTACTTGTCTCCCTGTTCTTTGTTAGATGGCAGCCGGAATACACATAAAATCGATTCTGCCACTTTCCCGCAAGGATGACTGATCCGAGCAGTCATTTCAGCTTAGCGAACCCACGATACATTGCGAATACTTACATACATTTACACATAATATACATGATTTTGTGAGTATTAATATTAATGTTATAAACATTTGATGCAAAATGGGAGCAGAATACAATTTAAGCTAAGAAGAGTAATAAAAATAAAAACACGATTCATATACGTTTGATATAATTATAATAGTAGGATACTATATGAGAGTTAAAGATTAATTTGTATTTCTTATAATAAAAAATACTTTGTGCGAGATGATATATTTAGAAATGTCATAAAAATGACGTTAACGGAATAAATATTTAAATAGCATTACAAATATTCAAAATTATTACTGCTAATTCAATTTGATTGCTCATGAAAATGAGTATTCTTTCAGATATATTAATTACGAAAACAATTGAGGCTTTTTTTTTATTAAGAAGCAACAATTATGTCTAATAAATGTTCGTCAGAATATATATTAAATTATTCTCTTTGTAAGTTCGTTATATTTATTTAATGCCAGTTTAGGTTTTTTTTAAAAATATGTAGGGGATTGTAGTCAAAAACTTCACCGTGTGAGAGTCAAAGATCAACTCGATGCATACTTTGAGATTGCGCGTTTATTAGCTCCATTGTGGACAGTGACAGTGGAAGGGAAGAGCGGCAGCATCTCCCTCCGGATGGACCAGTTTTTTATCCTTTACAACTGACCGCAAAAAATCAGAAAATAAGAGTCAAAGGCTAACTGGGTGCGTTTTGTGGCTCAGTGTTTGTATACGTTCGAGTGGACAGTGGTCATTGTTCCGGGGGCAGCATCCCTCGTCGGATGGACCAGTTTTCAAAGCGGGCACGAGCCCGCGATGATGAGCCAGAATAACAGGACCTCTCGTTATTCGAACGAACAGGTTTCGTCGAACGGGCGACTGCGAAGCGCAGCCTGTCGGGAAAAACAGCTTGTGATCTGTATCAAGTGAAAACTGGTCCATAGTTCAGGCCCTCAGTTCAGCAGCCCGGTGCCATCCACGTGCGATCTAGTCGAGATCAGAGATCAAACTCTCAAGAAAAGCAATGACGAGAATGGGAGCAGGTTCCACTGAATAAACGGGATCACGATCTTCAACCGCGCATCGGAAATGTAGAGCAGGTGGAATGTTTAGATCTGCGAGCGTACGAGGAAATTTCTTGTTTACATTAATGTAATGGATTCGCGAGAAAGTAATCGATTTAGTCATGCGCGAATTTTGCTCTTTGTCTTGAACAACACATGAAAATATGAAGCATAAAATACACATAAATACTCATTAAATAAGTTGTTTATTTTGAAAATGGAGTAAATCAAATTTGCAAAATTTAATTAAAATCGTTTTTTTTTTATTTTTACGTGAACCACATATTGAGTAAGAATAAGGTCGCGTATTTATAACAATGAAATAATAGTAATGATACATAAACGTATTTAATAAATAATTAATTTGTAATTGATTAACTCATAATTTTGAAACGGGATTACTAACAGAATCGCCAATTATTTTATGGTCTGCGTATTAAAGTACTCGCCATTGCAAAATTTTGTATTATATTTTTTGAAGAGAGCACTGTCGTCAAGCGTCAAATGAAGAATACGATAAAAGGAATTGTAGTTCGGATCTAGGGACAAAGACCGTGTAGTACTCAACCAAAAGGACGCGAAAACAAAGGCCGATGACGTGTGTGTCACATGAGACGTCGAAACCAGCCCACATTGGCCACTTCTTTCACCTGTCCATCACTCCCTGTCCTCTAAAGAGGACGCTTCTGAAAGAGGACATTTGCGTTTCCGTGCTCGTACCAGCTATTGTATGCCTTTATCGGCTGTTTCATGCTCTTCTCCGCTGGCAGTTCGCTTCACTGGCGACTGTGCGTTCGGTCGTAGGAAATGTATATCTGACGTGGGAGACAAAATAATTGCTCGCTATACCTTTAGTCGTAATCGGTCTTCGTGCTATCAACCTTCATCAGTCTTTTATCGATATTTTTATTTTTGTATAGAAATATGAAAAGACGAATATTATAACTTATAACAAACAAAAGTATTCGATCACAGACATAAATCTTTTTATTAAAATCTCTTTATTAAGATCTGCTACAATTTGAAAGTATGTTTTCTCTATCAATATAAAAGTTTAATTTTAATAATATTACACATTTTTGTTTAATTATGAATATTAATTTGTTTTTAGTTATTTATGCTACTAATTCATGTTAAATAAGAGATTTCTTATCGTGAAAAGTTATATATGTTTGTTGTAAAAATAAATTTGAAGAATGAGTATAAGTTTGACATAGCGACTGGTTTAATGAGGGATACTGGTAGAGAGGCTGACAATATGAATGTAAGAAAGAATAGTAAAGGAAACTTCCGCTGTCGAGATAATTTCAGCTTCGATTGTGAGAACCTGTTTCCCGCAGGGGGCCACGAAAGGGTCTTACTACCTACACAGCACATTACCTCCATTCGTATCGGTAACGAGGTCGACTTTACTCCGCAGCACTCTTCCTCCGAGATAAGGGGGTGAGAGGGTCATAGACACGCGCGTGGTATTACCGGGACACCCCGTATATAGGGAGGGCGTATTTGTTTTACTGCCTGGCTGCCGGCATTGGTTGAGAACGTGCTCCGCATTCTTGAAATCGTGCCACCCTTGTTACGGCATAGACTCTCCACCATCATCCCCTTCGCCCCTTCACCTCGCCATCAAACCTGGCTCTTTTCCTCGTCGCCGTAACCATCATAAGAAGGATCGTCGCCGATCCGCTCCCCTACGTCCTCCTCCGCGCGATCGTAAAAAAATTCTTAACTCCTGTAGTGCTCTCTACAATATGCATATAAGTACGTTGTACAAGACATATTTCACAAGATGTTTTTGAAATTGAGGAACATTCATCTGTTCATCGAACATATCGCAATAAAATAGTTGATATGATAATAAATGTTAAGATTACAGTACAGATCCTTTATATTATCTTCAAAAATTAGTTGTCAACATTGAAATTATCAAATTTATTTATTATACTTACTACATTATAACATAACAATATATCTAGTTCGAAAAACTTGGACTATATTTAGGAGATACATTTTCACACCTGGCGAGACGTAGTCCTTAATAAGAAAAAGTCGTGGAAACCGCATCATTAATCTTACAGTCTTTGCCGCTGTCAGGATCAGCGTTAAAACGGGAAGATTGTCTTCATCCTTTTCTTCAATAAGACTATAAAAATTTTTAACTTCTGCAATGGACACAAAGTGCTTCTGCAAAGACTGTGGAATTTCTCTTTCCGATCCTGAAGAAAAATTTACTGCATTCGTTATTCTTATACTAAATAGTTTTTCAAATTTAATTGCGATATTAATTATTTATTATTACTTATAATTTATATTATAGATACAATTATACATTAGTATACAATTTACATAAATTAGCACACGATTCTTCATACTTTTAGATTTCTTAATGATTACAAGTAATATTACTTTTCGCTAGTTTAACTCGTAAAATTGTTATCTTCTTTAATGGTTGATCGGCTCTCTACGAGCCATCTCGGTCGGTGCCTGATTTTTCGATAACGGCGCATTGTCGTACAGACACAGTCGTCACATTGCGGACTCAGACTATCTCGGCAAGACGAGAGAAACGGCAAAGGAAGAGTCCAGCGATTTCTGCCGATCCTAATTTACGGCCGGGATTTCAGGCGTTTATGTCTTTCCGATAAGGTCGTTCACGCAGATGCCAAGTCTGCACCGATGGATCTTCTTCATCCTACGCTCCCACTTCTTCTTATTCCGTCCCCGTCGATTTTCGCGTGTCGATAGGACGCGACGAAATGTCAGAGCGGAGTTCGTTGTACGTCGTTCGTCGTTAACGAGAGCAGGTATATAGGAGCGAGGTGTCGATTCGTCAACGGCGTGCGATCGCGTCGGACTCACGAAATTGCCAGCCATTTATCTACGATTTTCTGCCAGAAATGATATTGATCGGCGCTTCGTAAAAGTCGTGGTTGTAAGATTTAACCGCTTCTTACATAATAAAGTGCGATCCACGATGTCTCAAGAATACGGCGCAGTATCATGCCAGGTATACAAATAAGAATCTCTTTTATCATTCATTGCAAGTCAATATCTCTCGTCTTGTATTTATTAAAAAGTAATATTTACAATGTGTGAATGTTTGTAGCGATAATTTTAAACGGACAGACGTGTGCAAAGGGGACGCAAATTAAGTGAATTGTCTTGGACTTTTAACCGATCAAACAGGATCCGCAATAATATTTGTTTAAAGGACAAGCGACCGGAGATTCGCTTAAATTGGAAATTTTGCCTTTTTTCCATCTATGGAGGGTGTTAAATTCCCTGTGAGATTCGATTGGTCGGTATTTTGCGGCGGGCACAGATTTCCTGTCCGGAAGAATCGACAAGATGGGTTTGTTCACGATTTTCTATCGGACTGACGCTTTCTTCACTGATTTCTCACGCTCTGCCAATCCTCAGGATAAGTCAGATATATTTTCTTTGTCATAACACACAAACGAATATAATTTTGGTTGTTAGTAAATATTACATCTAATATATTTAAATTATTATTGGTGATTATCAATAGTGCAATACCATAAAATTAACATAATGACACATATTAAATTGTCGCAGCAATGTATATTAGAAGATGTATAATATTTAAGATATAATAAGACAGCATTATTATTATCTATATAATATCAGAAATATAGAAAATAATCTGGAC